ATGGTGGTACCCAGTCCTGTTAGAGACTAGGATGCTTGGACATACAGTTATTTCTGATTTTTATTTTGTTTTTATTTTTTGTTTGTTTGTTTAGTTGGTTATTCTGGACTGGGTTTCTCTGTGTAGCTTTGGAGCCTATCCTGGCACTCACTCTAAGATCACACTGTCCCTGAACTAGACGAGATTCACTTACTCTGCCTAATGATTGTTGGGATTAACAGTGTGTGCACCAGTGCCCAACCCAAGATACATATTTGTTCACCAGGTTTGTCTAGACATTTGGTTCCAAACCATTACAAATAAGCTACCCCTGATTTACAAGCAGCCATGAGGCCCATCTACATATGGAAGAACTGGCCTGTTACAAGCTGCTGAAGGAGGCATTTCCGGGTTGCAAGCAACCTAAGGCCTGATGTGCCATAAAGTTCCAGTTTTTCTTGAGAAAACCATAGTTTTGCCACATGGGCAATAGAAGACCAGGTGACATCTATTTGAAATGGAAATCACTGTTGGGTAAAGGACTTGCCTGATGAATGAAGGGAGGGAGGAAGAAAATTTTGGGGACACCTACTAACAGGCTGGAGCCTAGGGCTTGGCTGCATTCTTTAGGGGTCTGGTGTATTGACAATAAAACAGAGCCTTCTCTAAAATCAGGAATTTGCTTGGGAGAACTGGCAATGATCTGAGGCCAGGGCTTTGTGGAGCGGTTGCTTCAGATGCAGAGAACAGAACTCTTCCCACCACATGGAGCTTTGGTTATTGTTCTCAAGGCCGCCATGGGCTTTGTCAGTAATTATTGTGAGACACCCTGTGTTCCCCTTGTGTTGCATTGTGTGAATGGCCTTCTCCTTAATTTGTTTCCTTGTATGATACTTTCTGGATGTCTCCTATTTCCCTGTGGAAGCTATTCATCTTTTTTCTTTTTCAAAAAAAATTTTTTTTGGTTTTTACGAGACAGGGTTTCTCTGTATTGTTTTGGAGGCTGTCGGTCCAGCCCATCCTCAAACTCACAGAGATCCGCCTGCCTCTGCCTCCCGAGTGCTGGGCTTAAAGGCGTGCACCACCACCGCCCAGCTCTTTTTCAAATCTTTTGAGACATGGTTTCTCTGGAGTTTCGGATGGTGTCCTGGAACCAGCTCTTGTAGACCAGTCTGGTCTTTAATTCACTGAGATCTGCCTGCCTCTGCCTTCCTAGTGCTGGTATTAAATGCATTTGCTACCACTGACCATCTTTATTCCACTTAAGAAGCTTACTTAGAATAAGACACAGCTTAAGCAAGACCTTGCTGCCCCAGATTTTATTTTTCCTTTGTTCTGCCTTTCTTATCTTTCTCATCTTCTGACTCCTCTTCCTCAGGACCTGTCAGTAAAGTATTACCTACTGTTTCATGTTACATTTATACAATGAAATAAATACAGAAATGTCTTTTCTGTTGAATTCTTTCATTTGTCTAACTGGCCTGACTTGCAGCTTCCTGTCACTATTTAAATTCTTAAGAGTATGAGCTGGATTCAGACCCTAAAAGAAATTAAAGATGACAACATCTGTGGAACGCGATATGTATTTTAGGAGCCAAGCAGTGGTAGTCCTAGTCTTTAATCCCAGCTGTGAGTCCAAGGCCAGCCTGGTCTACAGAGCTAGTTCCAAGAGAACTAGGACTACACACAGAAACCCTATATCAGAAAACCAAAAAAATATCTGCTTTAGGCTCTCTGCTATTTGAGCATTAGCAGGAGATGAATGCATGCTCTCATTACAGAGGTTTTACTTTATTAATCTTTTAAGTCTGTGGGGCTATTTCTCATTGAAAAGGCAGATTAATTCTGGGAGAGCTGCACTTCCAGCCTTTTAGAAAAAGGTTTCTGAGACAAGCTCTCTCATGCTGACACAGGTGGCCTTGGTACTACTCTCTTGCTTTCCAGGACAATGACCTATGCATGTTTGAATGTGAGCTGCATATGGTTGTGTGACTTTCCAGAATTAAGCAAACTGTTGGCTCCCCAGGATAGATACTGAGTGTGTATTGGTATGTGCACATAAAAGACCCTGTGTCTTTGAAGAAAATAGGAAGAGCTATGGGAAACTGGGAGAATGTCTACTAAAACACAAACTTTCCAGACTATGGCCCTGTCTGCTGGTATGGAAGGACAGAGTTAGGAATGCCTGTTATGTCTGAGTTATTTTGTCACTACATAACGAAGAGGGTAGCTGCTGATGTTCTGTGATCCAACTGAGTGGTCCAGCTAATGTGGCACTCTGGGAATGCTTCAAACTCAGTAGAAACACTTGGAGGTAGCTAGCATTTACTCTCCAGGACTCTCTGCTGGCTCTCTTGTATGAGCTATAATGAAGACCACAGTCATAGCATGGTGAGTGTGGGGGCTTCTGAACAAGTGAAGCAGGTCTGCCCAGCTGTCATTTCTGTTGGGACTGGGAGGGACCATGAGCCATGTGCTCTCCTGGGCAGTGTCCCTTGTTCTCTGTGCCTCCCTGAGTGTATGTTGCCTGGGGAGAGAGAAGGAGGTGTTGTAGCCCTGGCCATGGGAATCTGTGATACATGTAATATTAGTGTCCAGTGTGCATCACAGGGTTGCTTTGTGTGTGTGGTGGGACCATATATTCTGGAATTTATAAATATTGTATCCACTTTCAGGTTTGTTTATAAGTTACCACAGTTTAGAAACTGGTCAGATGTGGTGATAGGGTTCACCTTTGAGCAATACCTGATGAGAATACTTTTATCTTTCTGTTAATACTAGCTACAATGGTGTGATTCAGGAAGGTTGGGTTCCAGGGAGCAAAAGAAATTTTTGATCTGCAGAAATTATTCAAGCATGCACTGTGTTGGATGCGTGCATAGGGTAGATAACCACATGTTGTCTCGTGATACTTGTGCCAGAAGCAGATGTTAAATTCTTCTTCTATGTTATTTTCTGTGTGGTCATCAATGGGACTGGATTTTTCTTAAACTGTGAAGAGACAAAAGGGTTTGCAGAACCATAGCAAGAGATTACCCCATTTGTAGAGAGTTCTAGACCATGGGCCACCTCTATTTGAAGAAATGTGCATAGCTGGAGGGTCAGAAGCAGAACAGTTTAATGGTCCATTTTAATTAATTTTGTCGGAGTTATGAAGTCTGCTTATTTAATTTCTAAACACATAGAATCCTGGCCAAGATCTCAGTTTACCTGGCTGCGTTTCCTGTGTTCTTTTGATGAAAAGTTGACTATATTTTCTTTTTTTGCTCTTGGATTTTTCTCTCCATCCCCTTTATTAAATATTGTAACCTTCATAATGGCTGTAGATTTGTTGCAAGTACAGAAGTTACACTGTGCCAATGTGTGCACTATTTTTTTTGTAATTCACTTGAAAATTCTGAATCCACTTTGCATATACCTTTGGAACCAGATATCCTATTGTAATGTAGTGGGAAATTTCTTTGAAATGTATCAGTTCATGTTGCAAATTTATCTCATATGGGTATCTTAGTATAGATGCATCAAGTTGCCAGTGATTATTTATTTCTTTATATATGTAGCCTCTTCTATTCTCATTGTTTTTAATCTCTGAAAGACTTTTAGTATTCTACCTAAAAAGGACTATGGGGCTTGCCTGATGGCCCAGCACGTATTCCTCTTGGAGATGACCTGAGTTCAAATGCCAACACCCAAATTTGGAGGCTCAAAAGTAGCCACTAGTTCTGATCCAGGGTATCCAACACCCTCTACTCTGGTATGCCATATGTACACACATGGAAAACCTCTCTCACAAACAAAGTGTATATACAATAAAATTGGGATAAACCTCTTTTCAAAATTCTTGATATTTACAAAGAAATTAGAGCAAAACAAATCACACTATTTGCATAATAAAAATCAACACAGTTTCTTTTAATTTGCTTAAAAAATTTAGTTTAAAAATGTAGTTTGCATTTTCAATACCAACCTCAGTTCCTCTGCCCAACTCCTGCCTCCTAGCTGTCTCCTTTCACATGTCCCATTCAATTCACACCTCACACCATTTGTTAGTCCACAATGTCTGACACACCAAGCTGAGAAAAGGTACAAGCTACTCCATCCTCTGTCAAGGCTGGGCAAGGCATCTCACCATAGGGAGTGGGCTCCAAAAAGCCAGTTCATTCAACTGGGATGGGTCCTGGTTTCTCTGACAGGTACCCTGCAACAGATCAAGTCACATAATCATCACCCACATTCATAGGGCCTAGTTTTGTGCTATGAAGGTTCCCCAGCTGCCATTCTATAGTCTGTAAGCTCCCACTAGTGACAGTTCTATGAAGTGACACTTTGTAGGGGTAGGCTTTTCCTTGGTACAGGAATATATCACTGTGGGGTTAGGTACTGAGGTTTCTTATACTTGGAATGCTGCCCAGATTGTCAGTCACCTAACCTGCAGTAACACTTCTGCCTACACACTGCCATGCTTCCTGCCACTGACTGACCCCCTGAAATTTTAAGGGAGTCACATCAATTAAATGTTTTCATTGCATGAGTTGCCATGGTTCATGGTGTCTCTTCACAGAAATAAAAAACTAACATAGACAGACACTGGCACCAGAGACTGGGGTGTTGCTGGGATAGGCTGGCCCTATCACACAACTGCTCTGATGTGTTCTCAGTAGTGTTGATCGGCTTGCTTTCCTCTATCTTTATGTCTCTGTGTTTTTGAGATTTCTTTCTCAAGGCTACATGCTATTTAAAGGACCAAGAAATAGTGCATGTGAACCTCATATTCATTTTTCTTCTTCAGTGGCTGGGTGAATAGGTTATAATATCCATGTCATGAAATAAGCGATGGAAGTACCAGAATTATAGGAATATATTGTCAAGGAAGTAAGCCTTTACAATGTATCACACTTCCTGTTTTACACATATGTGGGTTATTTTAGAACACAGTGACCTATGATGATGTGCACATCAGCTTCACTAAGGAAGAGTGGGCTTTGCTGAATCCTTCCCAGAAAAGCCTCTACAAGGATGTGATGCTGGAGACCTACAGGAACCTCACAGCCATAGGTAAGACTGAATTTTCCTTCATTATTTAAAGTGAGGGGACAACTGTTTCTTTGTGATTTTCACTCTTCTTAATTGAGAAAAAGGAAAATTAGATGAATAAAGCATAGCTCTAATGTTCATTGAAGCTATTAACTTAAATTTTTTACACTTTCCAATGATACATCATATATTTTCTGGCATTATATTTTAGGCTACAGTTGGGAAGACAATAATACTGAAGAACATTGTCAAAGCTCTAGAAGACACAGAAGGTAATTTTTGTATACAAGTTTATTCAAAGTGGCATCTGCAGATATTTTAATATGTCCTGGGAGTTTCAAAGGAAAGCAACAGAGTAAATTATCACAGCTTAAAGTATATAAATGATTCTTAATTTCTGACAAAAAATGTATCTGTCAGTTAGCTATTCTGTGTTTGTAAGGTATTCCTATGGAAAATATAAGACAAGGAAACACTGCCATAACAGATACCAACATTTGCAATATAGCCCCATGTGAGCTATGCTATAGAAATATCTTTAGTTTCATACCACTCAAATATTGTAAATGGCATACACATTGATTAGAAGACACATATATGTCCAAGACCTTCTACAACAACAGCCTGTAGTGAAGCTGTCATACCTCATGTATTTGTGACTTTGCTAAGTGTATAGAAAGGTCCAGTTTATGAGAGACAAGAAGGTTGTTGTGGAGAATCCTTAATCCCTATACTCATATCTGAGGAAAAGAAAGTCAAAATGTGAGAATGCAATGTGTAAACCTTTTATTTGTTATTCTTCCTTCAATAAGAATATCATGTCAATGCATGCAGAGGTAGCACATACCTTTAATCCATGACAGCGTAGGCAGAGGCAGGTGGATCCCTGTGAGTTGGATGACAACCTGGTATAACAAATGAGTTCCAGGATGGGCTCCAAAGCCACAAAGGGAAATCCTGTCACAAAAATCTAAGTAAAATAAGAGTATCTTATGTCACTGTACATACAAGCCATGTGAACATAGAATATGGAAAGAAGCAAAGTACCCTTCACTTCTCTCTCTCTCTCTCTCTCTCTCTCTCTCTCTCTCTCTCTCTCTCTCTCTCTATCTCTCTATCTTTCTTCCTCTATCTCTGTTTCTGTCTCTCAGAAGATATGAAGGATATTTAGTGATGCCAATTTCAGTAAATTTGTCAAAAGTGGTACAAGTTTACAATTAACTATAAATGCAGTGAATATGGCAAAGCTGTGAGCTCCTTAAATTCTTTTAAAATATGTGAAATATCTCACGTAAAAAGATGTCATAAATGTGGATCATGAAATATAGTTTCTTACTGTCTATTACTGGTAACTTCAAAGCCACTAAATAATCCCTCATAAAGCAAAGCATCATAAATATAAAACATAAGATCTGATTCCTTTCTTTACAATTAGTAAAAGTTATTAAATTATTTTCACAGATAGTAAGTTTCCTCAGTATAATTCATGGAAAAATCTTTTACATGTGCCATTTATCTATACAGTAATGAAAGAAGTCATACACGAGGGAATCCCTGTGGATATATGAAATGCATTAAATCCTTTGTGTGTTACAGGCATCCTCAAAGGCATGAAAAAATTCATACTGGAGTGAAACAGTCTGAAATTCTTCAATATTTTGAAGTGTTTCAATGTCACAATTTTCTTCAACTCCATAAAAGAACACGTACTGGAGGGAAAACCCATGAATGTAATCAATGTGGTAAAGCATTTTCACAACACTCTAAACTCCAAGTACATAAAAGAACACATACCAGAGAGAAACCATATCCATGTAATCAATGCGGTAAAGCCTTTGCATGTCATGGTGTGCTTAAAAGACATATAAGAACACATACTGGAGAGAAACCCTATGAATGTAATCAATGTGGTAAAGCATTTTCACAACACTCTAAACTCCAAGTACATAAAAGAACACATACTGGAGAGAAGCCATATCCATGTAATCAGTGTGGTAAAGCCTTTGCATGTCATGGTGTGCTTAAAAGACATATAAGAACACATACTGGAGAGAAACCCTATGAATGTAATCAATGTGGTAAAACTTTTGGAAGTCATGGTCAGCTTCAAAGACATAAAATGATACATACTGGAGAGAAACCCTATGAATGTACTCAGTGTGGTAAAGCCTTTTCTACGAAAAGTAATCTTGAAGTACATAAAAGAACACATACTGGAGTGAAACCCTATGAATGTAACCAGTGTGATAAAGCTTTTACAAGTCACAGTAAGCTTCAAATACATACAAGAACACATACTGGAGAGAAACCCTTTGAATGTAATCAGTGTGGCAAAGCCTTTGCTCAGCACAATAATCTTCAAGTGCATAAAAGAACACATACTAGAGTGAAACCCTATGAATGTAATCAATGTGGTAAACCTTTTGCAAGTCATGGTCAGCTTCAAAGACATAGAGTAACACACACAGGAGAGAAACCCTATGAGTGTAATCAATGTGGTAAAACCTTTACTCAGGACAGTGGTCTCTTAAGGCATAAAAGAACACACACTGGAGTGAAACCCTATGAATGTAATCAATGTCGTAAAGCTTTTGCACGTGATAGTCATCTTCAAAGACATACAAAAACACATAGGGGTGAGAAACCCTATGAATGCCATAGATATGGTAAAGCAGTTTAATGATGCTCTATACTCCACATACATAAAAAAAAACACACACAACAGAGAGAAACACTGTGTTTGTTGTGAGGGCAGTAAAGTGTTTCCACAATACAGTAAACTACAAAAACACAAAAGAACACATACAGGATAGAAACCCTATGAATGCCATCTATGCTGTAAAGCCTTTTCTGGAGAAGAATATCTGATAAGTGTCAACAATATGTTCAAGCATTATAGTATTTCTATTTTGTTTGCACCTGCAAATTCATATGGACAAAAGTCCTACAAATTAATTGATAAGGTAACTCTTTCTGATTTCACTGTTTTCTTTAATTATATAAAATACCTCATTCAGATAGGTTATTTGCTCTGAATTCAATCCTACATGCTTGCTTTATCATGACCCAACTCATGATGAAGGGAAAGTGTTAAGATTTTAAATGCCTCAACACCTAGGTCACAGGAATGACGCCTTACCAGAGAAAATATTTATGTATGAAAATCTCTTTGGTTAGAGAACTGATTAAATATTAAATTATGTGATGTATGCTTGTGGGTTTATTTCTGTTCATGTTTGTTCCCAAGAAGGTTAGACCCTTGAGCATTCCTATAATAGGAACAACAGAGAGTTATCAAAAACATGATCTAGGTCCTGGCAGTGAACTTGTTATAAACTTGCTCATCCATTTCTCAAAGCCCTCTACATATTTTAAGTCCTTTTTGTATCATCTTGATATCAGGTAATAGGGAAGAACTCATGGAAGAGAAAACATGTAAGCAATTTAATAAAGACTTTAGACTTCATACTTGTGTTTATATTCAATAAAAATTATTTCATGTGAAGTCAGGTTGTTACTGACTTCATGAGACCCAAGATAAATTATAAGTGGGTGTTTTACTAGGGAACAATTTACACAAATAATAATAAACAGTTGCTGCAGTATTCCTGCTTCTTGCTATAGAAGGTGCAGTCTCTGACCTTGTGAAATGATCAGCAACCCAAGAAATAGAGTGAGACAGACAGAGAGAGAGAGAGCCTTCCCCAGCTTCTCTACCTCAGGGTCAGGTACACAGAACCAAAGGCACAGCACAGAAGACTCTGAAAGATCCCTCCCACCTGACTGGCAGGTCCGCTTAAGGCTCTGATTGGCTAGTGAGGCCTGAATAACAGGACTAGGGGAGTAGAAGAGACACAGCACAAAGGGTTAATTGGAGCAAAGAATCCCTATGTGGCCCCAGGGGAACAGAAAACCAGAAACCATGAGGTTTCTGAGTTGAGGGCTTTTGCCACCCACACTGTGAGGTTGGACCTGGCAATAATGGGCATGTTAGGAGCAGAGTCTGGACTGCGGAGACTCCAGTTGATGGATCACCATTGGCATCTTGAGTGTGGAGTTTGGAACAGGGCTATTAAACATTCCAATCTCTTTGTATAGATACAGAAGCTGGTAGGGTGTCCACCTAAATAACCCAGACCCCATGGGCATAGGGGCATAAGTTTAAGTCTGGTTTCTTCCTGCTGGCAAGGGATGATGAGGATAAGGAGGTAATTAGGACTCACTGAGCTCATATTCTGCAGGAGGTATGGGTGGAGGTGTTTTCCCTTAGGTGCCATCCTGTAGAGCTCAGCCATCTGTTCCTTCAGGAGGTGGAGACGGAAAGTTAGGTGAAGCTTCTGAAGCTTCTAACAAAACATTGAGGTGCAGGTGGAGAGAGGCTGGTGAGAGTTTAGGCAGTATTTGCCAGCACAGTTCCAAACTCTACCTCATGGTGCCAAGTGTGGGCCCTCCCTTGGAGTCACCTCAGTTCAGCTAAGAAAAAAACAATGGAATGCTGAAATGTGCAGGCAAATGGACAGGATTAGAAGAAACCATCCTGAGTGAGGTAACCCAGTCACAAAAAGACAAACATGGTATGTACTCACTCGTTTATGTATTTTAGACATGGATCAGGGGAGTGTCGGCATACAATCCCACTACCAGAGAGTCTGGGAAAGAGAACCTTCATCCAATGACTGATGGAAGCAGAGGCAGACTCCCACAGCTAAACACTGAGCTGAACTCAAGGATCCCAATGACAGAGATGGAGGACTGATGAGCAAAGGGGTTAAGACTGGGTTGGCTTATCCCACAGAAACATCTGACCTGACAAGGGGTAACTCTTGAATCCCAGACTGATGGCTGGGAATCCAGCACAGGAATGATCCAGACCCCCTGAATGTGGGTGTTAGTGAGGAGGCCTGCCCATCCCAGAATGAGGGGTGCTCTCTCAGCCTGGATTCTTTGGGGAGGGGGTAGGTCCTGCCCTGTAAGAGATGATAGACTCTGGATATACTCCATGGAGGCCCTTACTCTCCCTGAGGATTGGAGTGGGGATTGAATGGGGGGATAGGTGCCCTGGTGGGGAGGTGGGGTGAGGAGAGGGGGGAAGGTGGTATTGACATGTAACACAAGCTTGTTTCTAATTTAAATTTTAAAAAAGCTAGCCATTTTCCCACAGATAATGGGAAAGGGACAAGAGCTCCTAGATTGGGAACATGGGAGGAAGGGAGAGGAAGTTACGAGAAAGAGAAGGAAGCAGAGGAGGGAGAATGAAGACTTGAGGGAGCTTGAAGATTGTGTGCTAGGCAGACTAGAGAAGGAGAGCAAGACCAGAGATAACATAATAGAGGGAGCCATTATAGTTGTAAAGAGAAATCTGGTACTAGGGAAATGTCCAGATAGCCACAAGGATGACCCCAACTAAGAGTCTAAGCAATAGTGGAAGAGCTACCTTAAATGTTCTTCCTCGATAATGAGAATAATGACTACCTTAATTGCCATCACAGAGGCTTCATCAGTATTTGATGGAATTAGAAGCAAATACCACAGCTAAGCTCTGAGTCAAACACCTGGAATCCAGTTGCAGAGGGAACTCCTGGAATCCAGTTACAGAGACGGAGGAGTGATAAGCAAAGAGATCAAAACCAGGCTGGGTAAACCCACAGAAACAGATGACCTGAACAAGGGGGATCTCATTGATCCCAGACTGACATCTGGAGAACCAGCATTGGACCGAACTAGGCCCCCTGAACATGCCTATTAGCTAGGAGCACTGGGCACTCTATGGTTCCTCTGGCACTGGAACCAGTATTTATCCCTACTGCACAAATGGACATTGGGAGCACATTTTCCATGGAGGGATACTATTTTAGCCTAGATACATGAGGGAGAGCCTAGGCCATGTCCCAATTACTTGACAGATTTTGATGATCCCACATTGAAGGCCTCATCCTCCTTGGGCAATGGGTGGGGGATTGGGATGAAGGCTGGCTAGGGGGCATGGAAGCATGGGAGGGAGAGGGAACTTGGATTGATATATAAAAAAAGATTGTCTCTAATTTAAATAAAATTTATTTTAAAAAGTATAGTAAAGATGGGGTGGTAAAAAACTTAGCTAATAATTTCTGGTGCTATAGCCCTCAGTTACTGGAGTTTCAGGGAAGATTATAGACGCTGTCATGGTCCAGTCACAGTCTGCCTTTGTTCTGTGGTCCTCCCACCATACCCCATTGACCATTTCCATCTTGGATGAAATTCCTACTCCACTTTCTAAGTACCATGATTAAAGACATCTACCACCATGCCTGGATTAGGTTGCTTCAACTTCACTTAGTGAGGTATTAGAATGATGAGATGAGCAACCTGATGAGTTGCACTTAACTATATTAAAATCTATTTATGTCTGTGAGCCTGGCTTTCACCATCTGCAGAATGAGGCAGAACTCTTTTCAGCTCATTTGGTGAGTTATAAGAGACTCAATTATAAGGAAAAAGAATATTTCTCATAATTTGGAGACAGCAGACTTTAAGGTTGAAAGGGAACATTTGATGGGGGAACTACTTCTGTGGCTAGAGCTAGGACCAGAGCCTGTAAAATGCCTAACCTAACAAGGTAGTCTCATACACTCATCCTCATGTAGCCAATTAAATAAATCAACTTATCTATAATGCAGGCTCTCTGGAGTCAAGATAGACAGATCGCTCTGATTTCCTAGGACAGCATAGTTCATAGTGTGTGTTCTAGGCCAGACAGGGAATCAAAGTAATACCATTCTTAAAAAGAAGTGAAAAAAATAATACAAAAGGAAAAATGACAGAATTAATACAAAATTAAATCATATTTATTCAGTTTCACCAATTTGGAACATTAAAGAAAATATATGGTAAATAGTCCATCACTCTGTTCCTAATAGGCTTAGACAGAAGACAAATATATATAAAACTAAATAATCTAATGAAGCCAAATAATTAATTTTGTCCATCGCTTAAATACTCACACCTTCTCAGTTCCTCTTTATCCTGTGAATTGGTCAAATAAGGACTAAATGTTTCTTCAATACAGTCAAATACTTTGAGAGGCTCAAGTCTTTTCCCACAATGAGATTTCCATGGAAATGATAGTTTTATGAATCTACTGTTTCACTAGTTGTATGCCAAAAGTAGACCCCATGAAGTTGACTTATAGTCTCACAGAACTGTCATGGTCTAAAAACCTGTAATCACATTACAAACAAATACTGCATATTTTTTTGGTTTGGTTTTTAGGAAATCTCATGACATTGACATAAATACTCTTAGCATAATACCCTTTGAAGTCATTACTTAAAGATGAAGTGCCTCATGGGAAAATAATGGGGACATTGAAAAGTATAGAATCTGAAATAATAATTACTTATATACATATCTATAGCATAGTCATGGACCACACAGTTGCCATTGCTAATTGACAAAGTTCTAGCATTTCAACATTGCAGACCAACCACTCTTCTGCAGCACCTGTAGAGTCAGGCAGATCTCTGTGAGTTCCAGGTCAGACTGGCAGAATGAGTTCTAGGACAGGCAAAGCCACACAGTGAAATCGTGTATTGAAAAAGGTGATGAGATCCGCATCTAGCTGCTTGGTGGCAGTGCACATGTTTAACCCCAGTATTCTGGGGTCAGAGGCAGTTGGATATTCTGAGTTTGAAGCCAGCCAGGTCCACAGCATGAGTTCCAGGGCTACACAGATGCATCCTGTTTTGAAAATACAAGAGCAAAACAAAACACATAATGAAAGAATAAGATCCACCTTTAGTATGGATGGCATCATCTGGTATTAGCCTGCATATAT